GGAACCGGTCTGTATGTGGGATCCGAACCCTCGGCGGGAGCGCCGCCGCACTCCCAAGCGGCGCACTGTAGCAGTGCGCCACCGGGCCGGCCCTGGATTATCTATTATTTCTTATAACTGTATGCGAATCTATAAGTATCTCAATTAAAAATTACTTTAAAAATATCCTATGGAAAATTAATCAAGTGTGGGATATTTTGGACAGTATCTTCACTTTTTCAGACAGTCATATAAGCATTTCCCTGTGAAAAGTGAAAAAAGCAGACTCTAAATTTATGCCTTCATAGAAACCTAGATGATCTGATTGTCATAAGCTGATCCCACTTAAGAGACTACCCAGGGATATTCTGGAAAACAGGAATATTCAACAGGTGAATACTCAATATTTAAGTCTAGACAAGGTTCACTCTACAATATGTGACTTTTAAAACTGCATATTTCATTAGATATTTAAGAACTGGTAAAAATAGTTTAAGACATAAATTGATGGGCTTTAGCCATTTGAAATAACTGTTTCATGACTAAGAAGTGCATAATGTAATGATTTTAAAATATTTTATGAAGTTAAAATCTATTTTGCATGGGGGAAAAAAGAGTGAACTCCTGCTTCATACAATAACATAGAGGAATCTCAAAAGCACTATGCTGAGAAGACATATTTCAGATTCCACTGATATCAGTTTCTGAAGCAGGCACAACTAATCTATAGCGACAGACATCAAATAAGTGCTCCACTGGGGGTAGGAAGTATAGGAACAAGGAGAGTTTGACTATAAAAGATAGGAGGGAACTTACTAGGGAGATGGAAATGTTCTATGTCTCAACTGGGGTACAATAGTCACGTGGATGTATACATTTATCAGAACAAACTGACCATTATCTTTCAATAAAAAAACTGTCAAAAAATAATATATGAAAACGAATGAAATACTGCCATTTGCAACAACATGGATGGACCTTGAGAGAATTATATTAAGTGAAACGAGTCAGGCAGAGAAAAAGAAATACCACATGTTCTCACTTATTGGTGGGAGCTAAAAATAAATAAATAAATTCACTCACACACAAAAAATAACTGAGGAGTGGGAGAAGATAGAATAACTACAATCCTTTGAAGTTGTTACAACAAGCAAACGGAAAGGACATTGTTGGGTGAGAGGAGGGAGAGGGAGGAGGGAGGGAGGTTTTGGTGATGGGCCATAATAATCAACCACATTGTATATCGACAAAATAAAAATTAAAAAAATAAAAAAAGAACAAACTGACCTTGTACTAAAAAGTGTGGATATTATTAAATGTAAATTAAACCTCAATACAGTTGATTTTTTCAAAAACTAACAATGCCAATTTTTCTTTTTTTTTTTCCTTTTTGTCTTTTTTCGTGTCCGGCAACGGATCGCAACCCTCAGTGTCACGCCCGTACCAGACCAGACCAGTTTTTTTCCTTTCTGTCTTTTTTCGTGTCCGGCAACGGATCGCAACCCTCAGTGTCACGCCTGTACCAGACCAGACCAGCAACGGGATCGCAACCCTCGGTGTTGCGCCCGCACCTCATTCAGCCAGTGAGCAGGAACCGGTCTGTATGTGGGATCCGAACCCTCGACGGGAGCGCCGCTGCGCTCCCAAGCGGCGTACTGTAGCAGTGCACCACCCGGCCGGCCCAATGCCAATTTTTCAAGAGGATGCAGAGCAACTGACTTCTCCTACATTGCTTGTGGGAAATGTTAAATGGCATGACTTTGGAAACAGGCAGTTTCCTATAAAGTTAAAGGTACACACGCCCTATGATCTAGGGAGTTTTACTCCTGGGTATTTCCCCAAGAGAAATGAAAATGTTGGTTCATAAAAAGACATGTGTACAAATGTTTACAGCAGTTTTATTCATAATAGTAAAAAAAAGTAAACAACCTAAATGCCCAGGTGAATGAAAAACAGCTTATGGTATATTCATCCAATGGAATACTACCCAGCATAAAAAGCAATGAACTATTCATACACACAACTACACAAATGAATCTCAAAAACATTATGCTAAGTAAAAGAAGACAGACACATAAGAGAAGGTATTGTACGATCCCATTTATATGAAATTGTAGAACAAGTTAAATTAATCTATAGTGAAATAAAGCGTGCCAGTGGTTGCTTGCACGAGGAGGGAGGATGGGGTGGGGAGGTGGGGATAGTATTGTCTGCAAAGAAGTACCAAGAAGCTTTGTGGGAATCCTTGTACAGGCCAGCCCCCACCCCCCAACACACACGACAGAGATGATAAAAAAAAGTTAAATGTTTTTAAAAAGAAGGTTTCTGTATGTTCTACATCTTGATTAAAATAGTTGCATGGTTGAATACACTTGTTTAAACTCATTGAATAGTAAGTAGGCATAAAATTAATGCTTTTTCTTATATGTTAATTATATGTCAGTACTATAGTATTAAAACAAACAAGCTTTTGAGGGTTTATTTTCTATTGTCTCCAAGTTTTTGGTCGAATCGACCAAGGCTAGAGTGCCATTAACTGAGATGAGAAAGTCAGTGAAAGGAGGTTTGGGGAGAAGGATGGGGAGTTCTGTAGCAGGCCAATAACCTCTTATTCCTTACGTCTTTTACCCATCCGCCATCAAGCACTGCCCATCTTCCCTTGTCATTATTTCTGTAACACAGTCCTCTCCTTCTCTGGTGCCCCAGTCCTGGACTGGTCCTTTCCAACATTCACCTGGATTTCTGGTGGCTTAGCCTGACTCTTTAAGGGTGTGAGGCGGTGGGGTGGGATGGGGGAGGGTGGATTTAAATACCTACAAGGGTCAGGCAGCAACCTTAGGAGTACAGGGACCATCAGAAGGAGTGGCCTCTACTCAGCTCCAGTCCATTGTTGTCAGGTTCAAGGGTTGCCTCAGGGTCTTTCAAAAGACTATCCAGGATTCAACTCTCCCAATGTTTGCAGCTAATTTAAAGACACGGAAATGTCATGTAGGCCAATTACAACCCATGTGCTGGACCCAGGGATGGCCAGTTTCCAATGTCTATAATAAGGCAAGTTTTAGCACAGGGACTGGCTCCAGCATGCCTCATGCTGACCGCATGCACTCTGGCAGTACTCAGCCGTGGCAGTGGGTGCTACCTAATCCCTGCCCTCCAGGCAAACACACCTCCAGCTTTCTCACCTCCGAGTTTTCACACCTGCCCAGAACACCTTCATTCTAAGGCCCCTGCTCAACAAACTTGCCCTATCAATTCAGCTGGAGTTCACCTGCTCTGCTCCAGATCCCCAGTCCCCTAAGGCCTCTACTACCTTTGTGATACCACCACATATACCCGTTACCCGTCTGCACTTCTGCCTGGCACTATGGCACCTGTAATTGATAGGCCAATCGCAACCACACAGTTTGTGTGCTTTCTTGGTTATGTCTGTCTTCCTTCCCGAACTGTAAGTTCCAAGGAGGAAGGGGCTCAGTTCGTCTTGTTCACTCCCACAGGCCCGTTGCCCAGGACTTGCCCAGGTGCATGAGCCTGTGACAGGATGAGCGGCTGGCCCCCTGCGGAGGTGAACAGGGCCCGGGATACTGACAGTTTTCTCTCTGATGCCCGCTCCCATCTCGGGGCCAGGCCCCAGGCAGTGCTATGGTAGACGTCTGGGGGATTAGAGGAAGGAGGGAGCAGAGGTCCCCTGAGTCCCCTGCAGCCACTGAATAAGTAGTTCCCAGACGGCGACACTGAGGGGAGGCTGGCAGCATCTGGGTTTCGTACTGAAAACATAGATAAACAGACTAAACTGTGCTTTGTCGCGGGGAAGAAGAGAAGAGTCTTCTCAAGGCCATGTCCAGTGAGCAGGCGCCGATGGGATCAGACCCCGGGCCCCTCTGGGGTGGCCGGAGGAGAGAATGCGGGCTGGGGGTGGGCGCGGGGAGCCGGGCGCGACCCGGGGCGCCCTAGGGGGAAAGCCGGTTATCGG